CGTAGATAATGGATGCGCGGAAAGGAGTTCTATATAAGAAGTGCAGCGATCGGCTAAACGCATGTGGTGTCAGATCGTGTAAAAAGTATTATATTACTGTAATGAAAACGTAGTTCACTCCAGTTTTGTACCTTAGAAAATAATTTCTGTATTAAGATATCTGTAGCGCGTGTGGCACACTAATCAGAGGCGCACTGCAACGCACATGGGATCGATCCCCGCGCCCGTGGCTCATCAAGCCTTTCATCCCTTCGGAGTCGGCAAATTGGTACCAAACATGTTTGGTGGGATAGCAGCACTGGCCCGATATATCGCTGGGCCACCGCAAGTCATTGTAAAGACCGGATATGCATTCGATCACCTCTAGTGATGCTTGATGAAGTCGACCATGACTTCAGGGATTGGCCCATGTCGAGTGCGTTATGCTTTCCAATCTTGTCGGAAAGTATAATATTGGAATGGAAGAAAGTGTCACGGCTTAAAAATAGAAGACGACTTCTTTTCAGGTTATAGTTCGTCAAAGGAAGTCATGTGTGGACGTTTCCAAAAGATGACTCTTTGGCAAGGAGGACACCTGGCCCTTCTCGCATGAGCGCGCGACGCATACAGCTGTCGCAAACGTCGCACGTTTCTTCTCCGACTACGTCGTGCCATTAGATTGTGTCCTTGTGTTCATTACTTACTAGTAAAGAAACAATATAGCATTTATTCATTCAACATGGTTGTGATACCCACTGAACATCCTCTTCGTTTCGTGTCTGCTAGACTTATTGGTTGTGGTTTCTTTCAACTGTACCGATTGGATTTGTCTCAATGTTTCGTCCTGTTGTGGATTCTGTACTGCTCGGTAGTATTCGTCATGAGATCACGAGCCAGTTATTGTCATTGTTATGGTCGAACTGTAAACGTTATTGCTGCTACCCATGACTATAACATTCTTACAACAAACTATCTGTTCGCAGGTTTTTGTTATAAGAGGTTTGACTGATCTTTTTGCACTACTTCACATGCATAAGAGCGTGGAGTGACTGTTCTGCAGTAACTGCCACAACCGACTTTCTATTAACCTCGGCATTGATCAAGTGATTTTCTTCGTATTTTTGTTGAGCAAACGCGAGGTGTTACTATTCTCCGTTCACGATTAAGCTGACGTTTCGGCGGATTTCGCCTCCTTCAGAGCCTGGAAAGGTCAAGTTGATAGCAATCCACTCGGCCAGACGCCTCCATAACCAAACAAAGAAACTCCAAACCAAGATTTCAATCACTTTGAACACAGCTTTGCACACTCACCGCTTTCTTTGAGGTTTCCACTAAGTAGTGTCACGTAGAGACCAACCGCACAGAAATCACGTGGAAGTATAATGTGCCCCTCACATCAGAAAAGCAGTTTTATATACTGCCCTATATCACGCGTGATAATGAGGCATTCTTCCCTGCGGTTCATTTTCGGATTTCTGGAATTAATCCAGAGTGCCTCGAGAGTTTTTCGCGCCTGTGTTCTTGATTCGCGTGCGAGGATCGTGACACATACTTCGAAGTCGTCCCCGTTATGTCTCTGGGTTC